TGACTTTGAATTAGGATCCATACATTCTATGCCAAACTTTTATTTCTTAAATGGTGGAAGCAGAAGAGGGTTTAGGGTTTAGATATTGAACGATAACTTTGCCATCATATAAGGGTAAAAATGAGACTGTCAACATCCTCGTCCAAATTCTTTTGAAGGTACATCACAAATGGCCTGTTACTGACCTTAACTTGTTTAGACCTTGATTTCATCCAACATATATTCATTGTATTATATTGTTGCCAATGTGATTTGGGTCAATATGTCAGAATAATGTGTTCTTTTTCTTGCATTTAAGTTCAAGTGTGTCAGAATTTTCTTTTGTCGAACAGTATAAACCAATTCGGTGTTACTATGTATATAAGTAAACTTTTAGTCTTTCTTCTTATACCATGCCTACGTACAACGGTGCGAGTACTAAAACAAATATTTTGCTCTTAAGAAACGTGTACTTCAATATTATTAGTAACCCAAATCGGTAGGCGGGCAGTGTTTTTGGTGTTCTCCTTAGGTAAAAATTAATGGAGGTCGATTTACGTGAAAATCTTAGTTCATGGAGGAAAGTGATAGGCGAATGCCATATGATTATGGAATGACAAGCCATAAATTTAAAGTTGTATGAAATTTATTTCACTAACAATGACATAATCATGGGATTATACAAGAACTATATCACCTTGTTATTAACTCTGGGTGGCTAAGAGGTTTGCACGTGGTTTAGAGTATTTACGACTACATCTAGGTTCTTTGTTCGGTTCTCATTACACCGATCATATTATGAATATAATGAATATAAATTCTTAGGTGCAAGGTAGCTTACAAGTAGTTACAAGCATTATTATTGCCTTCGAGATTTTGTGTCTTAGTTCCTTGATAATATGGAGAAATTTTTAGTGGTGACGGGAATACGGATTGTACACCACGTATTTTTATGCAAATGGTGAAAATTTTTAATTTTTAAGTTATTAACCTTTTAACACATATAATCCATCATTTATATAAGGACATGTGGTGTACCACTTCATGTGACAGTCATACTGAAAAATCTCTTGATAATACGGACTGAGGATAGACTTTCTTAGGCCCAAATGATGTTAATTTTTATTTTTAATTTAATCCACTCTTTCCGGAACAACACACAACAAGCCCAAATATTATTAACTCGGTCCAAACGGCAGGCCGGCTCAACCGCGCAGCAGTTGAAGAATCCCAACGACGACCAAATTCATAAAACTAAAATATACAAATGACACAGCAAATACCACCCACACCTTTCCTCATTTTTCAACCCTGACTTGGAACAAATATACTATTTATATTTCTAAAATACATAAGTGGTTGCGACATCTGAAATTTAATTAAAATCTTCTCTCTTTTAAGATTTAAGATTAAGATATTGTAATTTACAACATATTTACTTACTGAGAATACAAATTAAAATTATTTTAATTTTCTCCGGGTTCACTAAAATATATAAAGCCGAAAAAGCGTAAATAAATCTTGAAATTCATAATCTATAAGTAAAAAATGAGATTAGCTAGAGGGTGGGACGACTAGTTGATTCGATTCCCATTGCTTACTTTCCTTATTCCTTATTCCTTATTCCTTATTCCTTATTCCTGAATTCTCCAATTTTCTCTCTCATTGAACTTAACCTTTACAAATAGGTCGTAAATGTATCATATGTTCCATTCCATCTGTAACTTATGTTTATGCTCTGCGTCAATTGTCACCCTCAACCCACACATTCCAAGTACATTCCACTACTAGTAACACCGAAGCTTTTTTATAAATTGCATGCGGACACGCTAGGCTGTCTAATTGTAAAGGAATTGCGTTGAATTAAGTGATTTGTCTATCTAAAATCTACACAATAGGTGATTTAACGTCAATAATTACAGATCATTTGGACAGTACGTCCATAGTACTCTCTCATATTCTCAACCACAGATCCACAGCTCCAGCCTAGGGTACCCCCACCCCAACAAGGGTCACCACATAAACACGCGTGCCTTGTATCGATATATATCAAGATCAAGTCTATCTCACATGATGAGTTGTTGCTAGTTATCTTTTTACTCCAAGCTTTTTTTACATGATCCAGAAATAGGTATGATGACGGGCATCTCCCTCCCACGATAGAGAGCAATTCGACTAAATTTGGAAAAAAATTATCCTCAAATAATCGATTCTCTCATGTTCTGATGTGTGATATCAAATATACCTGGCCTTTGCATCTATTCAAAACTTTAAGCACCCCATATATGGTCCCCCTCTCCTCTCCATTGGCCACCTCCCCCACTTTGAAACCCCCCCATGTCACTTAATTCTTTCTTCTTTTCATCACTTTTTCTACAATCCAGCTAGTTTCAAAATTATGTATAAAACAAATCGAGGTTTTTGAAAATAGGTCAAATTGGATATGTAATTATTGGAGATTCAAATGGTGGATATGCAAGAATTATATGCTGGTGAAGGGAGGGTCCCAATTGGTAGGAAAAAAAGGGTTATTCTACACATGGAAGAAATAGAAGAAAGAATAAATATAGTGATAATTTGATTATTCGTCCAGATTATCACGATGATTAAAGGACTTCCAATTTTATTGATGCTTTTGCATTGATAATCTTTAGGCTGTGATTAAAAAAATGAACAATTTTGTTTGTGACACGTGCACCCTGAAAATTGTGTAATCACAACCAAGTAGATAATGAGAAGTACAATGGTGTGCACCTAAGAATTATTCTTTTATTGTTAGGACAATACTTGTGTTCACACCATGGGCCACATGCTTGTCCACTCAATTGTGGTTTACGTAATTCATAGTAAAAATATCATAATTGAAAACATTCATTTTCTTAATTATCATTCACATATCATCCTTTCAAAATCATTCAAATTGGAGATGATACTGCCAATGATATGTATCAAATACATGCTTGGTTTAGCACGAGGATGCTAATTGTTACCAAAACTGAGAGTTGTTTGAAACATATGAGTGACTTAACAATCTCTAATTAATTTGATTGAGTTTTTACAAAGTTGATCTTTAAACGATGACTAAGAAAGAAAGCTAGTGATTTCAGTTTATAATATTTGTATAATAAAAATACCCTAATTACAATTAAGTGGTCTAGAGGGTATGGTTGCACGTATTTTCATTTATTAGTTGGCTAGGCGAGTGATAATTTTTTATCAAAACAAATAGTACCACGTTCAAAAGAACGAACGCATTTGTTGGTGCTTGGATGAGGCATCATTATATTTCAACCACACACACACACTGTCAATGTCATACAAAGTTGAATACTTTGAATCACGCTTCAATGCAGCCCAACGCAGAAGACGCCATTTTCCACATCTGGTTTTGTATTTTTGCAGTTCTGTATCTGCGTAAATATATTTTGTCCAGTCAATCACGTTTCTTGTATAAGAAGGGGTCGAATCCAGATGGACAACAAACACAAACGAAACGAAGCTAGCTATCCCCTGAAGAAAAGAAACCCTATTACATTTCACTATCGAGAAGCTCACTAATCTTCTCTTTCCTTAGTTTATACCTAATTATTCAAAGGTTTTTTTTTAGCCAAAATAGTCATTGAGATTTGCATAACATATCACTTTAGTCCTTGAGATTGAAAATCAATAGAAACCCCTAAAATTATCCACCATCCATTATTTTGGTCATTCCATTAAAAACTCCATTAGTGTCCGGAGCTCTTGATCGGAAGTTTGGGCAATTTTCAAAACTTCGTAACTCAATCGTTTCTTAACCAAATTCGATCCATAATATATATAAAAATGAAGATAGGAAAGTGTACAACAAGATTATACTTATTTGGAAGCTTAATGGTTGATGGAGATGTCCGAAAAATAACCTGAAAGGTGACTGGTCCGCGGGAAAATTGGAAAACTCGCTGGAAATTAGGCAAACTTTAAACGTTCGTAACTTCTTCAATACTCAACTAAATCGAGTGATTCAAAAACAAAAATCATATTTCTCGATGAGATGAAGAGAATGATACCTTTCTTGACGGCTAATTAGCCGTGTTTTGGTCGAAAAACGGCTCGAAAGTGGCTAACTCGAGACCAAGACAGCCACTTTCAAGCCGTTTTCCGACCAAATCATGGAAATTTAGCCATCAAGAAAGGTGCCATTCTATTCTTCTCATCGAGGGGTATGATTTTAATTTTTGAATCACTCGATTTCATTGAGTATTGAAGAAGTTATGAATGTTTAAATTTACCTATTCTAGTTTTCCGGCGAACCAATTACCTTTCAGACTATTTTCCGGCCATCTCCGGCAACCATTGGGCTTCCAAATGGATATAATCTTGTTCTACACTTTACTATCTTCATTTTGATATATTATGGGTCAAATTTGATTAAGAAGCGATTGAGTTATGAAGTTTTGAAAATTGCTCAAACTTCCGGCGAGCTCCGGAATACTTAACGGAGTTTTTAACGGAATGATCAAAATAATGGATGGTGAACAATCTCAATGACCATTTCTATTGATTTTTAATCTTAAGGACCAAAGTGATGTGTTATGCAAATCTCAGAGATCATTTTGGCTAAAAAAACCTTATTCAAATCTATCCAACTGTTTATGAAATCATTAGTATGACGGTCGAACAGTTGTATAAAGTTAACGACTGACGACTCAAATTCCGCAACTATTCTGTAATATTTAATTACAATATCATTAGAATTGTACAATTAATGTGGTTTGAACTTGACCAAGGATGACTAAGAAAATGATGTATTTTGTCGTGTCCCATCAATAGCTTGAAGCTCTAGCTTTAACACTCAGCAGGCTAATGCATAGCCCCATTGAAACTATACAACCAAATACCATCTCATAAAATTCCATTTATAAAGTTTTAGAAAGCCAAATATGCATGTGGACAGACTCCTTTTAGGGTTTTACTTTTAGATTTGAACCTGTAATTATTTAAAACTTTCTTCTTCCCTATAAAATCTGAATTTGCCTTCCTATTGTTTCACTTTCATCCCTCTCTTTCCTCAAAGCAAATATCTCCCTCTCTCTCTCTCTCTCTCTCTCTCTCTCAAGTAAAACAGCAACTATGGCTGCTCCTAGAAACCCTAATGAAGAAAATGAGCTCAGAAAAGGGCCTTGGACTCTTGAGGAAGACAATCTGCTTATACATTACATCGCGAACCACGGCGAAGGCCATTGGAACTATTTAGCAAAATTTGCAGGTAAATAGTAGCCACATGATCACAACCTTTTGTCAACAAGTCCATTTCATTTTTTGGTTCTCAAGCATTCAACTCTGTTTTTCTTTAGGATTGAAGAGGACCGGAAAAAGCTGCAGATTGAGATGGCTAAATTACTTAAAACCCGACATTAAGCGCGGCAACCTTACTCCGCAAGAACAGCTCTTGATCCTTGAACTCCACTCTAAGTGGGGTAACAGGTCATCTTCTATTCATGTCACAACGTTAACTCTTTAGTAAAGTTGATGTTTGTTATGTCAGAAATTCTCCATGAAGAATACCCGTTCTTTATGTCGCGCATCCGTATTGTCCAAAATATATCGATAACATGCATGTACGTTTTTTCAGGTGGTCTAAAATTGCGCAGCATTTGCCGGGGAGAACAGACAATGAGATAAAGAACTATTGGAGAACAAGAGTGCAAAAACAGGCGCGCCAACTGAACATCGAGTCGAACAGCGTGCAATTTCTCGACGCAGTTCGGGGTTTCTGGATGCCGATTCTGCTGCAAAAGATGAAGCAATCTTCTCGTTCTTCAACCTTGAGCCCTTCTCAGAACTCTGCATCTCCTTCTCTGTCGCCAAATCACACAGTTCCTTCCGTACCACTCCCAACTTCTCCACCTGGCAATGTGACAAACATGTTTGACAACTACCACATGAGTGGAAATTCCAATCTTGCCACCGTCCCAAGTAATATTCTTTCGTCGGAATCTCTTATTTCACAGGTGCCGCAAATGGCAGAACAGTCGACGAGTTTATACCCTGCATTTGACCACATTGGATACAGCAGCTTAAGTCCAGATGGCAGTTACTATGTGGACAACAGTAGCTATGACATGGAGGGTCTCAGCCTGGACCCTGTTTCGGCAATGGGCAATTATGACAATTCACAGTTTGATTGCCAGATGGTAGGAAATGATTGGGTGTTGGACACCATCACTGACAATTTATGGAACATGGACGGGATGTGACAACCTAGAAAGTTAGAGGATTTTCAGGGGATGATTCTGATTTCTGAGTTGATGTCGTTTAAGGTTATGGAATGTATTCAAACTGCATTTTCTACAAGTAATGTAATCAGATGCTGTTTGAAGTTGATTGTTTTTTTTATTATTTACAATTATTTAAAACTTATAAAAGAAAGATTCAAATTTAAGTGAATCACGTTGTAACAATATCTTACGTTTGACCCTGTACTAAGTGTACTCATATGTTTGACCTTGTACTTTTTGGGGATATAATACAAATCTTATTTACAATTAATATTTGTTTAATTTTTATAACTGGGGTGACGAGAATGTTGTAATAAGAAATAAGCGGGGGCTCGAAAATGATAGTTCATAGTACCGTGAGGGAAAGGTGAAAAGAACCCTATTTAGAGCGTGCAAAGAGATCTATTTCAAACCCCTATCAAACTTCCGTTACAAGTACGAAACTTTATCAGGTCGGCACATTACCAAAGTCCGAGAATGCTCTATTTCTCTAGTGACTAAGCACAAAACGAGCGATAACATAAGAGGAGAATCCACGCTTAGTAGAATCGAGCATAGATATTTCCTTTATTTTAGTATATTTGCATGAGTTATTCATCTACAAGGCCTCAACTCACTCACTAAGTGACAACTCAGCGTAACGAACAAATAACAAACAGTAGAACTGACTTGAATTTCCGTAAGGAAAACTGTTGAAGAAGCAGCTACTAAACGTCGGCAAACAGAAAATAAATATATATAAAACAAATTAACATAAATTCTAATGCTTTGTTAAAGGGGGGGTCCCCAACTAGAAGCCACGTGGAATGAATTACGATCGTTATGTCACATCAGTCTTATTTTTTTCGACGGTCAACCATATGATTTTATTTCTAGGTGCCACATGGTGAATGTTACAAAGCGATATTCTAATATTTTAATGTACAATAATTTATTGGATAAGAAATTTGAATGGAGCAGACATATTGTATTGACTGTCACGTCCGTATAACTATAATCAGTAGGTAATTAAAAGTATCTTTAAAAGACGTGTCAAATCCTAAGTCCAGATGCCATTATGATCATATGATATTAAAAAAAATTCCAATTAATGTATTATTTACTGGTTAGATTTGAAGCCTTTGTGATTAAGAGTGAAATTTGACAATCAATTTTTTTTATTAGTTTAATTGTGGGTGGCATCTCCAATGCCAAATTTTAAACATCAAAATGATAGTTGATAGCTTATGTGGCAATTTTGACATTGTGTACAATATTTTGCTCCACCCTATATGTTAAATAATAATGTCATTTAATAAATTTTTTTATTTTTTTGTAGAGTCCAATGATTAAGGCAACCAATCAAATGTTTCAAAAACATAACAACATTTATTATATATTATATTAATTTGTTAAAAAAATCATTTAATAAATTTGACAGCAGAAGACTCTGCCTTCAAATGACTCAGCACCACGTAAGAAATTGAAGGCTCAATTGGAGAGAGTTTGCTGCCATTTTTTTACTGTTGTATACCTACATGACAATTTTGACATATCTATTGGAGATTACATTAATAAGAAAAATAATATTTAACAATTTGATTGAAGAAACACAAAATTTGATATAGGACTCCAGAGTATCACATCGCTCATCAATTTGTAATATAACAGTTATAATTTGACATTTCTATTGAAGATAATCTAAAGTATCGTGATCGATCGTACAAAAAAATTGTAGAGGTGGGTTCGTGAGTTTGAGAGTATCTAACTTGTGGGTGTTTTGCGTGGAGCCGTGTGGATGAATTAAAGTGAACATCAGTACTAGGGTTGAAGGTGGGGGGTGGGGGGTTTATCTTTGAAAAAGTGGGGCACCACAGTGAGAGAGAGAGAGAGAGAGAGAGAGAGAGAGAGAGAGAGAGTGAGAGAGAGGGAGAGAGATGGAAAATGGTGCGCTATGTTTTCATGTGAGGGTTTGGCTTTGGAAGTTTGGAACTTGGAAATTTAAGAATATGATGGGGAAATGAGATATTATCGCTCCAAAATTTCAATCAAATCAATCTTTCTTTCGCTTTCACAACTAAGCGTGAAGAGACTAAACTCTCACACTCTCTCTGTCACACAGGAGGAGTTGCGATGAGGAGGCAGCTGGTTGGTTTTTAAATTTCTTACTTGTGTCAACACTGCCGACTGCAGAGAGCACCAAAGTGTTCTTTAATTGCTCCTTATTACCCGTAGTTTCCCCGTCCACACATTCTCAATTCTCAACGAGGACGAGTAGTAATCCAATCCGAGACGCAAAAATAACACGCTAAATAACTTTTTGAGCTCGTTTGGTGCCTTGGATTGGATTAGAGATACTAATCTAGGTTTCACTTCATTTGGTACTTTCAAACTTATAAGTTTGCTGGCACAATAACATCAGTACAGAGAAGAGTTGAGTTTGTAATTCATATCTACTCACTGAGTTCCCAAACTTCCAGTTTGTGTCCTGCTAAGGCGTTACCTACTTCCCGCCCTTGTGATAGCTATCTCTCAGCGTGACGGTACGGTTGAAGACGAGCTTCTCAGGAGTTGAATCCTTATCGACTACAAAATATCCTGCAATACAGAAACATACAGAGTCCTCAGACAATTCTGTATGAGTAGACAATTTATATGGACTCGAGCCACTTATGTACAACTTTCTTCCTAGATTCCATGTGGACCGCTATCAACACGCTTGAAAGAATACTTCTTGCCTTAAAAACGTTATCTCAGTACAAAAAAATTAAAAAGGTCAATGCAGAAACGTACCGAGCCTTTCAAACTGGAATGCGTCCCCAACAACAGCACTTCCAAGTGAGGGCACAGCATATGCATTGGGTATTACCACCTTGGACTCTGGATTCAAATCAGCAAGCCAGTCTTCGAGCTCAGCAGGATTCTGACAGACAAACAAATTTCCAAAAGATTTAGCGAGGGAGGGAGGGATAGGAAGGAGAGAGAGAGAGAGAGAGAGAGAGAGAGAGAGAGAGAGAGAGTAATGATGGCCAACCTCTGAAAGGAACAGTCGGTCAAACAATCTGACTTCCACCTTGAGTGGATCAACCCCTGGAGAAGGTTCAGAAACCCAGTGAAGCACCCCCTGTGGAATATACAAATTGACCAATAAGAATACAAAATGTGAGTAATAAGCACCAAAGCTTAGTTTCCAAGCATCAAACAACAACCACAAGCAAAAGGATGGACTGTAGACCTTTGGCTTTGTCTTCTTTGTAGGATCATACTCAGCCCGTATCTCAAGAACAGTTTCCTCATCATCAGCTAATATGACATCTGTGCACTTGATAGGAAACGCATATCTGCAAAATTCAGATAAAGACTGTGACCCTTGAGCCCAAATATGCTCAAGTGGAAAGGAAAGTAAAAACTTGTAGTCCATATGGTACCTGAGTAGGACAGATTTACCAGGAGCAAGCCCAAAGTAATCCTTTGAATCTTTAAGCCGAAAATCAGACCGGTCAATATAAACGGTATTGGAAAAGGGAACCTGATGTGAAGGAAAAATAAAAAATTCAGTGACAATTGAAGTACCAAAAGCTTGGAGCAACGTTTAATATGTATCAGCAAAACCCAGGGTTACCTTGTAGAAAGCAGATGCATCATCTGTCTGAGCATCAGGCCATTTCCTTGCTTCTAGATCCATTGTAGTGCCAGCTTCCAGGTTTGTAATAACCACCTTAAACCAGAAATTATACGTCATACACAGATGGAAGAAAAATACCACAAGAAAACCAATGCCAATAAGATACACACCTTGAGGGGATGTAGCACAGCTATCGTTCGAGGAGCTGTTTTATTTAGCTCCTCTCTTATGTGATACTCAAGGCGACTTAAGTGTATCATACTACAATCACTGTTGCAGAAAGAATCACAAGTTCATATATGATAATGAAGAAGCACAATATACTGGCAGAACTAAAAGCAGGCACAATACACACACGCACACATGCACAATCAAAAGTTCAAACCTTCTAGTGATTCCAATTCCTCTAACAAAAGCATTTATTGCAGTTGGAGTAACACCCCTGCGTCGTAAACCAGCCAGTGTCATAAGACGTGGGTCATCCCAACCGTCAACCCAGTTCTGAGTCACTAGTCGATTTAACTGCAACATAGATGGTAGTTGATAAGTGTGGAAAAAGGCTCATACATAACAATTATATATCAAACATTATAACTCTTAACATAAGTATGTTCAGTAGTTGACACACCTTACGCTTTGACATGACAGTGTTACTGACATTCAGCCGTGAGTATTCCCATACATATGGTTGATAGATTCCGAGGGCATTTAATAACCAGTAGTACGAAGCACGGCGAGTCTCAAATTCAAGTGTGCAAAGCTGCCATATTCAAATACAGGGTGACTAAAGACTCAACATCTCAAGACTCAACCATCAACATTTGCACAATAATGTGAAAACACACAGAGGATAGGGAGTGAAATGCCCCTATGATAAATTTGGCATGATTTGATGATCATGAATCATGCCACTACTATCCATTAGGAAAGAATATCAATCAAAGCTAGAAAGCATACCGAATGTGTGATATCCTCAAGAGAATCAACAATGCAGTGAGAATAATCATAACTTGGATAGATACACCACTTGTCTCCAGCATGAGGATGGGGTGTAAACTGCAATAAGAAATTCATACTGTAACTATTAGGATGCCCATGAACTCGAGTAATTAGAAGAACTATTTAAGGTACACACTTGCCTTGATACGATATGCAATAAGGTCATACATGTTAAAGTTATCACTCTGCATGTCTTGCTTCATTCTAAGGGTTGCTTTGCCTTCTTCAATCAGGCCTCGTCTCATATCCTCAAAAAGTTTCAATGACTCTGCAATTGGCCTGTCCCGCCAAGGGCTGTTCATTTTTTTCTCCCTGTACTCCTTTATCTCGTCAGGTGTCTAAAACCATATTAACAAAGGTAAGTATATTTCTCAGACCAATGTTGATTTGTAAATAAAAACAATGTCATGAATACAAAAGTAGAAGTCATCAACAATTGATATGACCACACTGTACCACAGAGGACTTGTAAGGCATGTAGAAAGCTAACTAATCACAGCATACAAACAATTTTCATATAAACTTTGAACAAAACCTGATGATCTACATATGCATGACCCCTTCGT